TTTTTTTTTGCCAGGCACCATTCCTACAGTCTCCTTATGCGGATTTGAACAAGAAACCTACATTACAAATATGGTGGTAGCATTCAGTAAATACTATCATGCGTACGTGATTTATGATTTTTTTGCGTGGCTCCTTGTTGAGCAAACTAGCTTTCCATTTCGAAAAAAGGAAAATCAGGTGTATCAAGTACCTTCTAAAACCTACTGATTTGAAAGGTTATCGTGTTCCAGTCCTTGAATGTTATGTTTTGAGTAACATCAATGCGGTTTCCTAGAAATATGTCAATCATGAGCTTGCACTGCACCAACCGCCTTTTTATGGTGTGTCATAGAAGGATAGGATGGAGAAAACAAATGTCTCATAAACAAAAAACAAAAAAATAGCCAGCAATAATGCAGAACGTTGCAAGTTTTTTTCCGCTCAAGACAAGTCTATAAGAGGACGGGAAGGGCCACTTACGGTTCGGATCATTAAGAAGCACCATATCAGCAGCCTGGACGTCTTCACCTACGATATTGAACACTATCGAAGTGGCTACCTCCTCTACATTGAAAAAGAATGAAGCGGACGACGAGCAATCCTAGGAAAAAAACATTTGCTGTTATCTTCTAGAAAGATTTTAGCGACTTACTTGTGCAACGCCATCGTAAATGACAGAATTCTCATTGATAGAAGAAACCAGTAGGTCAGACATCTGAACAGATATTCTTCCACCGTGTCTTCCCAAACAAAATCTTTAAGAATTTTATACGATTTGATGTAATGAGTTTTGATCATTTTTTTAAACTTTGCAGAGATAGGGAAGAGATGGGCGAAACGCTCATTAACGTCTATAGGTAAACAATAAAAATTTAGTCCACAGTGACAAAATTAGAATATTAGCTCTTCTGCAGAAGGCTCTTAAAACAGGAACACCTATTACTGCCCAAATGCAAGGTTATTGAAGTCCATCATCGCAAGACCCCGCTGCATTCGAAACGAGCAGTTTGGAGTAGCATTCTGCAATTCCGAACCAAGTTTTATCTTCAAGTTTGGGAGTCGGAATTATCCTTCATAATGTGTTGTGCGGAATCAATAAGACTTATCCCTTCCTCTGCATAAAAATGACTTGGAGTAATTCCGTTTGTACAAACAAACTAAAAAGAATTTGTTATTATCCTACTACTGCGTTTCCTTTCCCAAGTTTACTTCCACATCCACATATTACCCTTGCGAGAGACTACGTATTAGTCCAGACCGGCGGATAGGCGCGTTAGTCGCGGACTGCGCATGACCCTTGGGGACTGACAACTAAAATCCTTCTTCATAAAACAGAGCCCAGCATGCTACATCCCTAGTAAGTTTATTAAAGTATTGTAAGTTAATTATAGTAACAAACAGTGTTAACCTAACCGAGAAAGAGCCCCTGATACAGCAGCGACAGTACAGACGAGTTTAAGGGCAATCAGGTTGCCAAAACGAAAGGGACCACGACGATCTGAATCTATAGCACATGAATTGCATGGGTTGCATTTACAGGACCTGATGATGCAAATCAAGAGGCTTAAATGACGTTGTCGAAGTTGACCGAGACGAGAAGACACCGCTTGCTGATCGCAACCTACCCTGGAGATAAAGTGTTACTAGAAATATGTGACACCAAACACGCTGGTATAAGGACCCCGCTAAAACGAAAATGGCTATGAATATCGATCCTTTCCAGCTAAGAACCCGAACTAGACGTTCACATTAATGAGACACGGCTCAACTCCAGCCTGGCTCATCTTCTTTACCTACGTCCTAACCAGGATACGATCAAGACGAGCTCAGGGCTTCCTAATGGATTTGAGAATTTAAACGAGGGAATCCCTTCTATGATGGCCATTGTAGGCGACAACGCCAGGATTGGCTCCA